CTAACACCATTCCTGAAAGACCTGTGATGTGAAATAAAAAAGATAATGATAATGAATCTAACGATACAGGCGTAAAAGAATATGTCTGTTGATACCTTATTGTTACTTCTACAGCTCTTGATCTTGTTCATAAGGCTAAAATTATTACTTATTCTTACTTTTCTTTTACTTCAAAACATAGGGATGTGAGCTTATTTCAACTCCTGATCAAGAACACACTGACTTTACCAAGTGCCTCAAAATACTCCAAAAGAAGATAGACGAAAAAGACCTAAAGGTAAGATATGCACTTATTTGGTGGTTAAGGGTCTTACTATCAAGGATGTGAAAGATCCTGTTACAGTTTTTATTAATCTGCAGTGGATATTTACTTCTATGCTATTTTATTCTTTTTATTTCTGTCAGGCTTTTTCTGTATATCAAATAAATCTGTCCTTAGCTGCAAAAACATTAGTGTGTACACGTAAATCTGAGGTCGCAAATGTAAACATCTCACAGTGACAAGGTCATAAGATGGGTTTACTGGACCGTGTGTAAAGCAATTAAAACTGGAAACTCATTCTTGGCCTAAAGTGACTATTCTTCATCGCTAGTTGATTGTTGCCGTGCAGAACTGTGTGTGTTTTTGTAATATGTCTATTTAAATATTGTGTGGGCAAAACAGACAAGCAAATATGCCCTCAATTTGGTCTATGGGCCATTATTGCAAACTCATATAAACAAACAAAATATCAATTTTATTTTCTTTTTAAGCCAGAGAAGAGTCTACTGTTTTGCATTTACATACTCTTTAAGATATTCAGTAATGATTTTGACCTAGCATCCAAATATATTTAATCACATTAATTAGTTGATACAGAAGTTTATATTTGTGATACCTATTGAAATGGTATGCAAAGTTTTGTAAGTATGTTTAGTGAAGAGCTACAAAGTTAAACCTGAAGCCCTGAATGACAATTGACCTTTTTTTATTCTGGCAGGGACAATAAGTTTTATGTTGAGATGTATGATCAATCATGTATTTTTAAACCAAGAAAACTAGGAAAATACCTTGGAATATTAGAAGGGCTTTGATAGCACAAGTAACAGAAAATACATTTCAACCTACCCTTAATAACCCTGTTGGATAAGGCAGTCTTGGGACACAGCTCAATCAGAACTCATGCTCTGTTTCTTTGATTTATATTGGTTTTGCTGCATAGGCTTTGTCTTTGCACTGGCTTCCCTGATTGTCTTCAACTGCCACCTGCAGAAACTTTTTACCCCACACAGGTAGGGGGATTCAGGAATTGGAGGGGGTCAGTGTTTGCATCGCTTCCCACCGTCATCAGACTTGACTTCTAAGGTCTCTCCATAAAACCACTCTTGGTTTTGGCAAAGGAGAGAATACTGAGCATCCTAGGCTAGAGCGGGGAGTGGGATCAATCCACATGGCTCATATATTCAAACCATGAGGCTAATACACATTTGACGGGGTGGGATAGGTGTAAGGGAGGCAACTCTAGTAAAAATTTGCTCCCTAGCAAAAGTTTATCGAAGATCTACTGTAGCATGTATTTCCTAAGTTGAGGTAGTAAATCCTTTTTTTCCTTTGAAGAAAAACCTTGTTAACTGTCCTAATTGGCAAGCAGCTCAGTCTGCAAACTCAGCAAAAGTAATTGAGCGAACATTTCTCATCTCTGTTGTAGTTTTGCTGAACTACATCAAATGTATTGTGCTATTTCCAGCAGGAAATTGCTGTAATTAAATATTTCTTTAATGGAAATAAAAAACAACCAATTGAGAGTTATCTACTTCATCCAGATATGGCTGATTTTGAATTTCTTAGAAAAAAAATTATAACTCTTCACAGCTGTGTTTCGATTTTCCCAGCACCTCTATTGAAATTATTAAAAGCTGAGAATGCAGTTTTGTGAGTCTCATTTGTTGTGTCTAACTGATAGTATCTGTAATACAGTGCTCAGTCATTGAGCCTTAAAACAAATGATCATATCTCACACTCAACAAGACTCCTATTCAGAGAGAGCCTCATACTAGGCGAAGAGGGAGTGATCTGCAAAACAAAGTCTTGGCTAATCCAGTGGAGAGTCCTGAAGCCAGAGTACCTCTTAGAGGACCCCAGCATTGGGCGGAAAGAGCAACAACCTTGCAGTCTCCCTGTGCTTAGTCATAGACTAGAGGCTGCTCAAGAGGGCTGTGGGTGTGGTCAGAGGTTGCCAGGGAAGAGCGTAGAATTGGTGGATTGATGGGCTGCATCCTGAGGGGTTGCAGCTGGGAGATGACAGCTTACTGCTCTGCCCGCAGCCCAACAGTGAGTTCTTTCTTGGAGACAAATGCAGTGCCAGGGCTGCCACGGGCCCTGACATGCTTTGGGCCCAGTGCATTCTCCAGGCCCATCCTGCACCAGTCTTTCTCCCTATTCCTAAAATATGCCATATCCCCCCCTTTCTCCAGCCTTAAGGTGTTTTTGCACATTTTCACCTCTGCCAAGAATCCCAGTTTTCCTTTTCTTTGCATAGCCCATGCATGGCAGAGTTTGACTAACTTTCCTTAACTATTACTCAAGGTTAGATTTAGCTACTCTACGTTTCCATACCCCTCCCTTTATTTCTCCTCTAGGGCACTCTGAACACTTTGAATCATTTTGTTAATTATTTCTAATTGTTGGCGTGAAGTTGTTCTTCCTTGCTTGACCATACAGCCCATAAAGCTGAGATCAGCTCTGCCTGTTCATAACTTGATGGCAGTACTTTGCATATAAAAGGTGTTCCCTGAAAGTGTGGTATGTTTTATGCTCTAAAGCTGTGGTCCCCAACCCCCCGGGCTGCAGACTGGTACTGGTCAGTGGCCTGTTAGGAACTAGGTCACACAGCAGGAGGTGAGTGGCAAGCAGGTGAGTTAGCGAAGCTTCATCTATATTTACAGCTGCTCCCCATCACTTGCATCACTGCGTAAGCTCCACCTCTTGTCAGATCAGCAGTGGCATTAGAGTCTCATGGGAACTCGAGCCCTACTGTAAACTGCGATGCGAGGGATCTAGGTTGCGTGCTCTTTATGAGAATCTAATGCCTGATGATCTGAGCTGGAGCTGAGGCGGTGATGCTAGTGCTGGGGAGCAGCTGCAAATACAGATTATCATTTGCAGAGAGGTTTGATTGCGTAACAAATGTAATGTTCTTGAATCATCCCGAAAACATCCCTCGCAACCCGGTCCATGGAAAAACTGTGTTTCATGAAACTAGTCCTTGGTGCCAAAAAGGTTGGGGACTGCTGTTCTGTAAAAACACACAGGAAAGTAGAACATAACACAGTAAAGAGAAAGGCTTTTTAGAGCAGCCCGAGACTTAATAAGCAAATAGGAGTTATACAGCAAAGGAGAAAGGAGTGTTCCTAGAAGTACCGCAGTGCACAGAGTATGGATGGCACTTTGTAGGAGGGCAAAACTCCACTGCTATCCTCCTAGGGTCCAGCTGGGCCCAAAATTAAATTGACGTAAGATAGTTTAACAGGAGAAAAGCATACACATTTATTTGATGCAAATTTTACATGGCACAGGAGCCCTCATAAAGAAATGAAGACCCGTAGAAGCACTTAGAGTCAGTTGCTCATATACTGGATTGGATAATTTGTGAGGAGCAGCTAAATTATGTTGGTAGGCTTAGAAGATAAAAGTTATTTTAAGAAGGTTTGTACAGAATTCTCTCGGTCTCAACTTTTCATACTTGAGGATAAGGATGTTGCATCTTTCCCATGGAGATTTCATCTCTTTCTTTTTTTCTTTCTTCTTCTTTTTTTTTTTTCCCCCCCCTGAGACAGGGTCTTGCTCTGTTGCCCAGGCTAGAGTGCAGTGGCATCATCATAGCTCACTGCAGCCTTAAACTCCTGAACTCAAGAAATCCTTCCGCCTCAGCTTTCCAAGTGGCTGGAACTATGCCTGGCTAATTTTTTAGTTTTTTGTAGAGACAGAGTCTCACAATTGTCCAGGCTGGTCCCCAGCTCCTGGCTTCAAGTGATCCTCTTGCCTCAGCCTCCCAAAGTGCTAGGACTATAGGCATGAGCCCAGCCTCATCTCTTTCTTTTAAGAAATAGGAAGGTCAGAATGATCATTTTGCAACCTGCTTTTTTTTTTTAAGTGCCTTTAACTTAATACGCTAGAGTGGCATATTTTGGGGTGCCTATTCTTAGCCACTTCAGCTTCAGTAAATTAGCAGAGAGTTTGAAGAGATTTACAAAGGAGAATGGGGTGATTAGTTTGGTGTTTTAGAAAGTTTATTTAGATAAAGTGAAGACTATATTACTCAAAATTAAAACTTTCAAAGGTAACTCCCATTCAGACTGAAAAAAGTGGTTATATTAAATATGATGACATAGAGTATCTGTGAGCTTCCGCCTGACTTTACCATTTAACCTAGAAGGACAACACTGTATTTTATTTGATGTCATAGCAAGAGAAAGGCAAGATTAAAAAGGAAAATAATACAAAATTCCTCTCCACACATCCCCCTACCTCCACGTGAGATCATGAGTGCTTTTAAAAATTTCTTCCTAAAATACATAAACTTTATCAAATAATCCTTTATACTTCTCCACCTAATAAATTCTATCAAATTATCATACATTTTTGTTTTTCTACTTGTTATAAGTATGAATTTGTAATCAAAGTATCTATATTTTATAGTAAGAACTCTTACTATAAAATAAAATGTTAATTAAATATGAATAGATCTTAATCAAGTGGAGAATGGAGGGGAACTCTTTCTGCTATGACAGAGTAGATTTTAGAAGAACAATCATCCTTCCAAGCACATGAGGTAGCAGGATAACACACAAAAGTCACCTGTTTGGAGTTACTGCAATGCCACAAAGGCCGCTGAGATTTTCCAGTGCAAGAGAAGTATATTTCGGTGAACCTAACATTTTACCAACTTTGCCCTCAAAGTTTGTGCCCATTCGGAAGAAGTTTTTATATGACTGAAAGGCATGCAGAAAATATTGCCAGTGGCTCAAAAGCTCAGTAGTTTTAGCAGTTTCATGAGACCAAGAAGGCCGAAAAGACATTCAGAATTTCCAAAGCAGCCAGAGTATTAAAGAACCCAGTGAGAATGAAAGACAAAGAGAATAAAGAGTGGACACCACTTTTATTCTTAAGCCCTTACTTCATTGGTAAATAGGGCAGGACTGAGAAACAGAAGAGTTTTCAGCAGTCTCATAGAGTAATGGAGAAAATAAGTGGATTTCATCAGGGCCTTTCAAGAAGGAGGAAATTCAGCTGAGATC